CACACACACACACACACACACACACACACACACACACACACACACACACACACACACACACACACACACACACACACACACACACACACAGAGAGAGAGAGAGAGAGAGGGAGAGATTTAAGATTGAAAAAGAAAAAGCAAAAGATCGAGAAAAATAATTGGAAGTGCGCTGGCCTTCAATGAACCTATTTCCATGGTTAGTTATCACGTATATTACGAATTCGGACGTCATACAAGTGATAACTTGTTGGATTGTAAAACAATAATAGGATTCGCTTTTTCTGTGATGGGCTTTTTTTGGGCTATCTATAGCGGCGATTCTCTAATTAGCTAAAAGACATGAGACCATATCGAGTCCTCTTCTTCACTTCTTCGTAGGTGGTTGATTCATCTTCTTCCGCAGCAACATAAGCCACATATCTAGATACTAATAATAATATTACATTCAAGAAAGCCATAAGACTTTTTGTCTACTAAGAGCTTCTCATATATATTATGATGAGATGCCTCAGGTATTCTCATCTCGCTTTCTGGGCCAGCGCCCCCTCGCACACATTAAGAGCGTGCCTTACTCACCCATTTTTCTTCCTTTAGATTCCATGTCAGCTTCTTCTAACAGAGCCTTTTGAGCCTTAGATATTCCTCCAATAATATTACGTCTAATTTATGGGAATGCCAGCGAAAAGCGAACAGAGGATCTTTGTCTACTACCTACTGCTGGCGGGAGCCGCGGAAATTTTTGATGGTAACAACACGAAATTCCGCATTACAGTCGTGTTTGAAGCGGTGGAAGATGAAGAATAATGGCCCATGTATGAGAGCTCTGAGCCCCACCAGAGCTACGACCTTTTGATGGAATGCCTAGAATATTCCTATCTCTCTTGTGCCAGTGACTATTTGAACACCACGTACTTTTTGTGTATGCAAACGCTCACAGTTCCTCTCTCCCAGCTAGCACCCAATATGAACGTTTTTGAGCTAGATTGGAGCTCCAGGTCAATGCCCCATGACTCTTCTTCGACATGGTGAACTCCGAAGTGAGGCTTGCGGAAGAGAAGATCCAAACTAGAGCAAACGATGCAATTGATGCTTCAGGTATGGACTTGCTGACAGCCTTGGAAGGACAATTTTGGGCTCACCTCTTGCTTGAAGGGAAGTAGCCAAATGGACTATACGAACCGGATATTTTGAAAAATTCTTGTGCATTCCGAACTTACGACTACTATTTTTTTCGGTGCGATTGGAGTTACACCCGCGCACACACATACACACTTAAGAGAAGAATTCAGGCAAACGTGAAACAACCAGCCAGCATGATGAATTCTGGAGATATTCGATTCCTATTTCTTCAATCGTAATAATGCCTGCCAGGTGGTCCGACTGATGAATGTTATGAGCATGCGTGTGCTTCTTTACATAGCCTATTTGGCCTTCCTGAAATTGGGTCCACGAAGTCGTGTCGTCTACTCGCACTTACAGATTCGAATGATGAAATAGTCATTATTAAGGTAAAACAAAGGACGAGGCTTGGTAATGCTCATTTTATGTGTCAATTATTGAGGTCCATGTCAGGGTTGAATTGGCAGATTGTGTGGCAGCCGCGTTTCTTCCCATATTTTCAAGGCAATTCATCTTTGAAAAAGAGGCTTACTCAGACTGGCAATTTTCGAATACGATATACTATGGCTATTCGCGGAATCCGTTCCGTCGTGCTTCGGCGACATCACCAGGGCCAGGCAGGAGACACTTTCTTTCAATTATGCAGGTAGTGCTGATAAATTCAAGCAACTAACTAGTTATTAAAGCTGAACACTTTTGCGAGAAATCGGAACAATATGTAATTTGGCTTGAATCGTGTCACGGCGATTCCGGTGGATGCAGACCGGTTCCGGAGCAAGACTAACTAACCATATGGCATACAGTAAGCCAACAACGATAGACTCACATACAGCTGGTCGGTGAGACTGGGCGTGATGTCGCATACCGGAACCGGTGAAGATCACGGCCTCAGAACATTATTTATTCTAAGGGTGAGGTATCTTCCTCTACCCAACTCTCTCTTCCAACAAGATCCGTTTGATTGACCACGATCATGGCGCAGCACAACCTCAACACCCCAGTATCAGGCTTGCCATACTTTACGCCACAGCATCTGCACTCGCTAGGAACACCCATGGAGCTCTCTTCTAGCACGCCCACACTATTCAGAGCTCTGCAAATTCGCAATGTTACGCTCCGTAATCGCATCATCGTCTCTCCCCTGTGTCAATATTCTTCAGCATCATCTGTGCCTAACATCGGTGCCTTGACGGACTGGCACACTGCGACGCTAGGCCACTATGCTATCAAGGGAGCTGCTCTAGTTTTCGTTGGAGCTACAGCAGTCCAGCTCAACGGGAGGATATCGACAAATTGTCCTGGCATGTATGAACCGATGGATTTATAGAGCAAACTTTGTGTGAGCTGTAGAAAAGCTCGTCAAGAACGATGTAAGGCTAAATAGATCAAGTATAATAGTGAAGTTGGTGAGTAGGATAGAAATGTTTGTTAACTAGCATTGGGGTTTACCTAGGATACGAGGTGACGTTGTACAACCAACTGTGTTAATGGATCAATAATCAAAAGCTTGTGGAGGACTACACAAGATACTTAGGTTCCTTGGGAGGTCTTGCAAAATCTAGCGAAGATCTCTCAAATCCACGGTCTGTTGAAGCTGTAGTGAACAAACTACTGGCGGACCGGGAGAGCAGTCGGTAGACGATTACAATTTGAGACTGCGATGTCACGATACGCTCACAGGCCGATAAATTGGTGAGCTTTCTCAGTTATTCAGACCCCACCGTGAAGCAAACTGCTAACGCTCAACCATATGCTGCGCTTGCGTGGTCTGGAGTTTCCTTGATTATTCCGGTATGCTACCACTATCTCCATGACTACAGAGACACATACTGACCGTGAATAGCTTCTGCTAAGCGACGTCACACAAAATGCGGAAATGCTAGAGGGGTTCGCCTGGATTATTGATCTCCAAATATTCTGGGAATTCTGGGAGCGCAAAAATCTTACTTCTGAATACGGAGAGAACTACCAGTCTCTCGTGGAGTCTTTGATCAGACTCTGCTCCTATATCATCGAGTATCAGACTCGTGTGATAAGTCATTTGACCAGCCCCCAGCACTCGCGCCTATGGCAGAATTTGTGCGGCTCCAATGCCTGGTCTGAGACGAAAGAAAAGATCAATCAATTTGACGAAAATTGCCATAGATATGTCACGCAGGAGCAGCATGATGAAATCTGAAGTAATAATGCAGCACAGCTCTCAGAGATCAAACGGTTGCGCACTGTCGAAGAGGGCATCCTTCAATACAAGAAAGAGAATCGACAGGACGAGAAGGAAAGAGATCTCCTCCGAGACTTGGTCGAGGTTGCTGGTCAATATCAATATACCATGGAAAGGAATCCAAAAAAAAGTGCCGGGGACCTGTTAGTGGTTTCTAAACGATGAACGATTTGTGAGTTGGCACAAGAGCAGCTCAGATCTTCTCTGGGTCTCAGCAAGCCCTGGACGTGGCAAGTCCGTTTTGTTTATCACAATCGTTAGTTAGCGAAGGACATTTGAGACCGCCTACCACTACCATTACGCTCACGCCCTCTGCTGTGATCTCTGACCTAGAGCCTGTCATTGCGTACTTCTTTTTCAATGAAGGTGGAGGTGGCAAGGACGGTTCCCAGGCGTTATGTGTAATGCTGCCTCAGATCTTCCGCTGTACTTCAAACCTGATTTAACGTGCGCTTCCGGACCATAAAGCAAACGGAAAGCTTCTCACTGTAGAGCTTCCTGTCCTATGGCAAATACTTATGAACTGCGCCACGGGCCCCGGGACTAACGAAATCACCTGCGTCCTGGATGCTCTAGATGAATGTGAACAGAATAGCAGGGAATGGATCTTGCACAACCTTGTCAGCTTCTATCATGATGAGGATATGAGCTCAAAGTCGAAGCTCAAAATCCTCTTCACGAGTCGTCCATACCAAGACTTGGAACATTCCTTCAAGAATTTCAATGGTAACGCAGCATATATGCGTCTCGATGGGGACGAAACGTCCGAGCAAATTCGCCAGGAAATAGACCTCGTCATCGATGCAGACGTTGACAAATTCACCGAAGGCTTCGACGATGACAATGTGCAAAAGATTAAGACCAGCCTCAAGAGCATGGAGAATCGCATCTACCTGTGGTTACACCTTACACTTGACATAATTCATTAGTATACACGATTCGAATCTCTCATTTCTTCATCAGACTGCGAGAGAATTCCAGAGCGGAAGTGCACGGTGGGAAGTTTGTTCCATACTCCAGCAGTCTCACATCACGATGTTGCATGCATGTCTCGACTGTTTGTGAGTCCGGTGGACCTGAAGATGATGAACGCGTCGATTCGTACCCTTTTAATCTATATTCGAGTGACAACTGGCATGTACATTTTTCCAAACAGGATTGTGTCCCTTCTAGTAAAGCGATGGATGGTGCGCGCATGCTGTGTCATACAAGCGGCCATTATAAACAAGTTTGTACCACCTTTGAACCCCTGCCAGGTTGGACAAGGAACTTGTTCAGTGATTGATACAAGAAGGTAGGCTTCCTCGCTATTTCATTCTGTAACCTTTAATGGATTTCGCCAACAATAAGTGCATATTGCCGTTTGCGGAGATTCTTGTACTAACCAGTAGCAAGACCTATCCGCAATCATCAATTATCTACCATCTTCTAATTTTCAAGGAAATGAAAAGGAAAGAAAATAAAAAAAATTTGATAGACAGTCTAGAACGACGAAGGAAAAATAGATATGAAATAAGCTGTAAAAATAGGAGAAATAAAAGCATAATCATAAACGCCAGTCCCACAAATTTCCCAATTTTTTAGCCCATAAAACGCCTCCTCTTCTTGGTCTGTTAACACAAACATCCTTTTCCAATCGATCCATGTAGAAAACACCAACTCCAGCCTACGGATATCAATAATGAGCAATAGCAAATAATATGGTTACAGAGAGGGGGAAAAAAGAACAAAGGCAAAGAAGTGGCGACAAGGGGGAATAGCAAGTATTATGGAAAAAGAGAAAAAAAAAAAAAAAAAAAAAAAAAAAAAAAGGGAAAAGAAAACAACGCAGTCTTTTTTTAGTCGTAATCATCGTCGCCATCTCCACCTCCACCACGTCCCTTGACCCCATCCTTGCGAATGGGAATTTTGATACCTTGCAAAGCAAAGCATTTGCTCAGAGGTGTACTTTCAATAACACCAGGGAACTTTTTGGCAGAGAATACCTGGAACGGTTCGGAAAAGACAGATGCTAAAACTGGCGCGGACCCGTGATTCAGCACTGGAGCGCCTGCGGCATCTGGAGACTGAGATGTTCCAACATTGACGAAATTCATCTTAAGACTGTAAAGAGTTGTTCTGTCAGTATAATCACCCGTAAAAGGAGGCGATGAGAAAGTCATACCGAAAAGTCCCTTCTGTGCGCACACTCAAATCTTGCAGAATGAACCACACACCAATCTTATTGTCTGGATCGGTCAAACGGAAAGCACTTGCGCTCAGACTTCCAATAAGGTTTCTTGTGAACATCCCCCCCGGCGCAGCAGACTGTGATGACAGATTGGGCTGTTGTATACCGCCCTGGTAGTAGCCGCCGGCATAATAGGGACCCCCCTGAGGGGCAGCATAGGGATTCTGATACATGGAATTTTGGCCGTAGTAGCCGACTTGTTGGTGGTATCCCATTGACTGCTGTGGGTATGGAGGCTGGCCAAATGGCGGATATGTAGGTGAGATGCTGCTCTCCTGTGGAGGAGGCGGGTATGAAGACGATGTTGCAGTGGAAATAGACGGCGAGTTTGCAGAGTGACGGACGAGATTCACTTCGTTTGTGCCATCGGCATTCCATAGGTCGACCGTCAGGACGTAAAAGGATGTGTCGATCTCGTTGATATCGATCTCTTTGTCTGTCGAAGCATCCTTCACAATAAGCCTGATACATGGGGGTGGAGTGATTGGCCGTCGATCCTGGGAGTGTGCTGTCAGCGCAATCCTTATTTTCCATGATCTTTATCTTGTCTATCTGGGGTGATAGCAGTACCTTATCGCCAAACCCGCACATGCGTGCGCGGACCGGTTGCTGGACGACATGCAACGACCATATCCGCCCTCCGTGAACAGTTGATACTGGCTTCAGATGTTCGGTAGACCGCAGCGGTCCGGTGGTCGTTGTAGTTGGGTACGCAGGCACCGGGGGAGCAATGCGATCCATAGAAAGCGGTGGCGGAATTGGCTGGGACCTTTCATGCTCGACGGCGGCATACATGGTACAGACGAGGGTGGTACCGCAGGCGATTAAGAGGAATGAAATGGAAAGACAAAGGCGAATATATTAAGATTAGACTGGGAAATGGAACTGACGACAAGGAAGAGGTTCGAGTGAAATGCGGAAGGCGGAGCAGAAGACGCTTTCAGTAAGACGTAATATAAGGCGGGACTAAGCCTAATTGGGCGGCTCTCGGTGTAATCGGTCGGTAATACGCATTACGCATTACGCATTACGCACAGAGTTGTGCTTGCCGCAGATGTCTATATAAAGTCATGGCTGCATATTGTAAGTTATGTTTTGGAAATTGTCGAGACACAAATACTCAATATGCGAGGTGGATTTTATGATACAGTACTTTAGGTAGCCAAAACCCTGTTAAGCCATGGAGCTGACGTCGCCTTCAATCTGGATGATTTGGGACAGCAAGAGGCGATAAACGGATCGTTGAAGTCTTATTCAGTCATAAAGCTGATATCAATCTTCAAAACGGACTCCAGGTGGCATCAGCTAGAGGTCGTCAACACATCGTTATCTATCCAAGCGCCCGCACTCCGTCAAAAACTTCATGGACCCAGCTGTCAAAGGCAAGCCTTAGAATCGTCTCATTGTAGCGTCCAATCCTACGAAGCACCAGGAACTGAACCGAGGATCCACGGAGACTCTCGTGCAAAGCGGAAGGCATCAGATCTGACCAAGCCCTAATCATTCTCCAAGTACGTACCTAGGTATGCTTACTGCTAGCCCGCAGTGCGTTACGGACTAGAACCAAATCCAACCAGTAATCAACCTACCAAGTGACAATAATAACAGGGATCAATATAATGGACAAGGTGAATAGAGGTCTCGCTACGGCCCTGGCTCCGGAAATCTTCCGGAGGCTCCCTACCTAGTTCGAAAGGATACATCTCTCCTACCGTGCTATATACCCAATCATGCCTGATAATCATACCTAGGTACATCTGGAGGTATTACTCCGCCTTTCCCCAGGCCACTAGGCAGCTCACTAAACGTAACTATTTGTTGACGTGCGGAGAGAACGCCGCACAGGATTCCAACCCAGGCAATTGAATTTATAGGCTGACTGCCTTGCGGGAGGTTAATTGTGGTTAATATGGCTTTTTAGACTTATATTCTACTCTTTGTCTGATAATTCGGTCAGCTTTTTGCTTCATCTCATTCCTTTTTTCTTCATAACTTGCATACATTCCTTATGGCGCCATTCCAAAAATCCATGGATATCAGAGACTTTATAAATATATGTATGGGGAGGGGGAGACACCATATCCAAATCATCAATGTTGACACAATCAAACAAAATTGAAACTCATATCCGTCAAGCCATAATCACCACCACCACCACCAGTACTGGCACCAGCACCTCCCCCGTCGATGCCATCAAGCATAGGCAAAAACGGCCCTCCGCTGCTCATCGTACCTATATGGCTGTCGTCATGATTACCCTCCGCATTCAGCCCAGCATGAAGATCGAAGTTGGGATCTAGGGACAGAAAGGATGGCTGCTCGGGGATTTCGCTGACGCTGTTGAACAGCGTATTGCTCACGTTGTCTTGGATTAGGGGACTCAAGATGGCGTCGTGGTTGTGGTTATGGTTATTGTTGCTGCCATTCCATGACAGATGAGGTTGTACACCTGGATGCAAACCAGCGCTGCTGCTACGACACAAATGAAGCATCTTGGCCAACCCCTCTGCCATCCAGTGCACGAGATGATACCGGCCACAATTAATTTGTCGCAAGAACTCGATTACTCGCTGAATCAACGCGTGCGTAAGACCCGCGTCGATACCGAGGTCGCCTCGGTACCGATCCGATACTTTGAGCAGGACTACACAGGCAAATGCAATCATGGTGTGGAAGTAGTGCGGCACACCGATTATGCTAGGTCGGATGTCGACGTCGTTGAGGAGGAGTTCGAGGATGGTCGTTGCGTGAGAAACTGCTGCGGATGCGGTCTCCTTGAAATACGCAGGGATGGGCTCGACGTGGTCGCCTGATTTCAGACCCCGGAAGACGTGAGAGAAGAGATGCAGTTTGCCGAAGTGGTAGTGAAGGAGGATGCCCTTAGAGGGGAAGTTTCCAATGTGTTTGTTGGCAGCTGGAATTAGTCGTTAGCAATTGGATTGACTATACTGGTACTGAAGGGAAGCAAACACTCACCAAGTTTGGACGACCAATGTGCTAGCCACTTATCAAGGTGGTGACTGAATGTGTTGATATGAGGGGTAATGGCGCGAGGAACAGCCTTGGTGGCGTCTACGCCAAAATATTCTCTGATCTGGCTCAAAAGCATCATCAGAGCCACTTGAGATGATATGCGTACATCCGACTGAGACGCATGCGGGGACTCGAGATAGTCGCGCCACCCACGGATCGTGTCATCTTCACGAATCATAGGAGCTCGTGTATACAATATTGACAAGTGCTGATCACAGATGTACAGCAGATACCACAGTCGAACCGGGTCGATGGAAGCCTCAGGGTCCGCCGAATCCCAGCTCTTTGGCGTCTCCGCAAAACCATGCGTCGAGTCCATGATCCGATAATAGAACTTGTGCAAATTGATATCGCTTGCGCGTCGTACAGCAAGACCGGCCAGTGTCCACGAGACATCGCTCAGCCAGTATGACCCAATCACCAAGGCGCGCAGGTAATCCAGACTGATGCGACGCTCAAACATCGACATGGATACTAGTCGGCGGAATTCTTGATTACATATCTCATAGACAACACCGCTGTTACCAGGTTGGTGTGAAGCTGCCACTGTGCAAATACAGGCCGTGAGGAGGGGCGAGCTTCTACGAAGGCTTTCCAAAGATTTATACTTGCTTGCTAACCCATAGATGTATGGATCGAGCTGTGTGTGATAGAACTGAAACAGTTTCTCCGCCTCGTCGACAGAGACTAAGCCACGAGAGATAAAGTCGTCGTGATCCGCGGGTCGTTCTTCCACCGTTTCTCCCCGCAAAGAACGTAGGCGAGTCAGCTCATACAGTGACTCTATTGGGACATGTGCTAGGGTTTCATCCACGTGCCGCGATTGGTCGAGGTCTCGAGCGGTAGGCTCGACCGCCTGAGCAATTTGAGTTTCTTGTTGTTCCTGTCCATTGCCGTTTTCGGAAAGTGAGGTGTGAAGGGAGGGAAGCGATGGGAGGGACAATGCTCGCAGAGTTTGTTCGAGAGCTGTGTGCATTACAGCCAAGTCATGGCTGACTGTTTTGCGCCATCTGTCAAATACACGATTAGCAAGGATATTCATTGCGCATTGATATGTTGTGTGGATATTGGTACCTGGACTCTTCGTCGATAAGCGTCTGCAAGCTTTTGTTGAGTTTGCATGATAAACCTCTTTCCTTACACCGTTTGCAAGGCGGGCAATCATCATCCATGTCACATTTAATCTGCCGCATAATAACATATCAGCTTGCATTCGGGATATGCGCAATGCGCTTTGACGAAGTTGAACAGACCTTTTGCTTGCGACAAGCGGCGCATGCTTTCACTTTGCGTGTAATTGATGGCCATGCGATGGGCTCATTGTCATCAGACTGAGCCATGCTTACAGCTCGCTGGCGCGTGTCAGACTTTGCAAACCGCGACTCGGAGCCGGCATCGGTCAGCGTCGGAGTAGGAGGATGCTGCTGCGGTTCAGAAAAACTGCCATTCTGGAATATCTTCGCCTCATCCGGGCTGCTTGGACTGCCTGACTTGATAATGTGCATGTCATTCCGAGTTGCTTTTGTTGATGGACGACGGCCCGGCTGCGTCGCCGCTCCAGACGATATTTGATTCCACGAACGTTTAGGCATGGCGAAGTAGTAACTGGGGAAGATACGTATAGATCACTCCAGTGCTCGCATTGACCATTAGGCGCAATTGATAGAGAATAAGGCAAGGCCACTAATTACATCGCAGGTCGGAGAAAAAGATGAGACCAAAAAGAAAATAAAGAAAAAAAAAAAATCTAGAGCAAGTGCGAAATCTGGGGCAAGTCAGATGGAAACGAAGCCCCTCACTCCAGGTCCCTCTACCCCAGCCCAGCCCAGCCCAAGCCAGCCCAAGCCAACCCAACCCAACGTAATGGGCGGCGCATTGCACAATCTGGTCTGGACATGAGATGTGGCTCGCCCAACCTTCCTTCGCTGCGACCGGCCCAAATCCGAAGCCTGTTTTGGCTTTCCCCACTCGCCATGCGGGGATTCCACTGGAATTTCCCGATCAGGAAATCATGGCTGGCGGCATCCCCGTTGCCAGTCGCCGAATCCCGGCCTTCTGATTGGACAGGGCGGCACTTGGTATCCATTTTAGCATTTGCGGACCTTGGTCACTTGGTGAGAGAGAGTTGTGTGTGTGCATTTCAGGGGGCTGCTCTTCGGGCCGATCTGTTTCCTGTACGTTTGTGCTTTTCTCGATGACGCATGGCCAGCTGGAACTACGCGCAAGTTACTGCGAGATGACACACACTGAACCATTGGCAGCTGGATGCATCCATGCATGCTATGCGAGCAGCTGCTTGAATGAATGCATTGTGCAATCCCCGCGGGGAGACCGGCCATGGCATGACGTGGGGGCCTGGGACTCGAGCCGAGGTCTCCCGGTCTGTGATTGGTGGACCGCTCGCCCCGAAACGTGCATCACGTGGAGTGAAAAAAACCCCCACGGTTTCCCCACGCTAAGTTGATTTCAGGAATAGCGCAAAGCTTGCCGAAAAATTGCTTCTTATTGTTCGCAATAGACACAGTGCACTCACTATATTCTGACTGCCATCAGCACTAAGACGTCGTTGGAACACGGCCAAGCACACACCCGCACGTATATTCATAGCTAATGCTGTTTCAGTTTGCAACGTTCATCGAGGGTTTGCCGGTTGTTCCCGGTGCGCGATTGCATGGCAGGTGCGGGATTCATCTTCTCCGCAATTATTTCGTAGTACTCCGTCCGCATTGACGTGTGAGCGTCGAGCAACATGGTCTTGGTGAAATGGAGTTGCTTAGTTCACTGCATAATTCTGCACAACCGATTGTGGCGCGGTATTAGCCGACTCGGTTTGGGTCGAGTTCTAGGATCGGAAATTTCTATCGAACAAGTACAAAGCTTAATCAAAATCCAATCAATTAAGTCACTCAGCGTATCACAAGATAGGTATCCGTCGTCAGTCATAAAATCGTCACATATTCGCACACTTGTTATTCAAACAGCCACGGCGCCGTCAATGCCATGTCCCCCGCCATGTCCACCCCGCTGGGAACCCCCCATTGAATGTCCGGCTGGGTCAAGAAATTTTGAATAGAAGGATCATCCAGAGCACTCTGTACCAAGAATGCACTGTTGCTATCATTCATCGGTCCAGCGCCTGCAGCACCAACTTCGCCCACAGCAGCAGTTGTCTGCTGCTCCATCGTCTGCCCCGGTTGATGACCGCCGCGATCAATGAACTCGAGAAGTACTTTGCGCATCTCAAGGAAATGCTGATAGAATCCCGCCGCGGGCAGATTTCCATCTTTCACAAGAGAGTCCATGATGTCGGTTGCCGTCTCAACGGCTTCTCGGTCGGTCTCGCTGTTAGTGGTGCCGAGAATGCTCGACATCATGAGAATTATGGTGGACGAAAAGAGGTAGTGGGAATCAAAGTATCCAAAGATCGCCATGCCACCGTCAATCCAAAGTTGTGTGAGTAGACTGTTGGAGCTGCGCGCTGCATGAACACAGGCATCCGCTAGTGCCATAGTGGTGGGCGACGCAGTTGGTGCGCCCTGGGCTTGGAAGCAAGATTTGAAAACATGGAATAGAATAGGCCGGGTCGTAAGTATAACACACTAAGAAATTTAACTATGTTTGAGACTGGGCTTACAGCAGATGGGAAATATGGACATAAAAGATTTTCTTACCTGATTGAAACACAAATGCAACGAGGCTACATTCCTCGAAGCATACTTCAATGGTTTACTATGTGAAATCTGGACGCTTTCCGGCAAAGTCTCGGCCCATGACCGCAGACTGCGAAGTATCTTTTGCACACTCTGCACAAAAGCCTTGGCTTGACTGGAGCGACCATAGATGTCAGAGATAATCTCCCCAGTAATCTTGGCCAGCTTGACGTGTGCAATCAGGTGAGACGGGTCGCAAAACTCTTCTTGCTCGCTAGGCGTAAGATTGTTCATTGACGGCAGATCGACATCGATGTCACGATCATGAATAGTGACTGGATGACCCAATTTAGAACTAGTGATGCGATCGGTGATGTACACGCTCCACCAAATCCGTATTCTATGTTCCCTCTCAACAGCGGAAATAGCATACCCGTCTGGAAGGTTGTGATGTAAACCCAAGGTAAGGCACAAGCGAAGTGCCATTCCAGCATACGTGTATGCAGATTTAGTTCTGTTGAGCGCCAATGAATACAGAGACTGCAAGGATATGAAGAATTAGCATGTCAAATGTGAATTTAGAACAAAATAAAGTAGCACAGCTCACAATGATTAAGAGAGCTTCGACATATGCAACAGAAGCTTCTTCGTGCAGATCCTGGGTAAGGCTCATTGCCTGAAGAAAGAAGCCAGTACCAGGTATATCGGAATCTCTGGTTGACGGCAACCGTCGATTGGAATACATCTCGCCCATAGAGAAAAGCGCAAAGATCTTGCAAAGAAATACTGTATCATCGAGGGACTGAGTGCGATAGACTTGGTCCATCCGTTCAATAGTCGCCTTCCGTAGCATCAAATGGTAATCATTGCCTAAAAACCGTAAAGCCACCTTGAGCAGAAGATGTGCATAAGCACGATTGGGCAGTTGGACCCTTGGAGCTGACATTCGAAGAAACGCCTTGTGTTTGGAGTATTTTGACCGTGAAAGCGGTGCCACCGGCTCATTTCCATGCAAGAACTGCCGCAGTCTGGTGCCAAAGGCAGTGCATGCTGCCTCGCCGATGTAGATGGGCTGCCAAGATGCATTGTCCGGCACAAACCAGGCCTTGTCTTCCATCAAGGGATTTTTGAGGTCCACGTCCGCATTACTTGCCAGGTTTCCCTGGCTATCTCTAATGTTGTCTTCGTCATCGCCCTCGGGCGTGGGTTGCGCTTGTTGGTTGGCTGCGTCTTCTTCTGAGAGCTTCTTGCCCTGCTTCAACAGTTCATTCTCTTTCTTCAGCAAATTTAAATAGCTAAAACGCTTTTGTCAGAACCACTCATATGTTTGTGCAGAGAACAGACAGCTCACCTCTCTTGAACCAGGATCTTTCTGTCTCTCAGTGGATAAACGCACTCGACGCTGCCTTCTGGCTGCTGAGCACAGTTGTGGCATGGAATGCCCCCGGAGCATTTCACCTTGTGCTGATGACATCTCACACAGCTGATAGAAAAAATTGGCTCAATATCATCATCCCATTACTGGGGAACTGTGGGAACAAACTCACGCTACCAAGCTCCGGCGGGCACGCTTCGAAGGCCGCTCGTCCAGATCCTCCAGCGGCACTGGGGAACTTTCTTCTAAGACCCGGCCGGTGTGCTTAGGCATATTGAAATGAAATTCTAGTGCGCGCTATATATGATATTAACTCGGTTTGCGGGACTGAACGCGCGATGATCAACGTTGGGCGGCGGGCGATTGAATGATGAACGTGGTTGAGATATCAGGAGGTGCGTGTTCAGCTCGGCAGAATCTTATCCGAGCCGAGAGTTCGGCTTCGGCCTAAGCAAGGCTACTGCCGCGCCCGCACTGACCGGGCCGACGACCCGCGCGGCTTCACAGACTCTCAGCCTGGGCCAATAATTGCCAGTCGTCGGCGAAACGGTCTGATGAGCCGGAATCGTTGCTGTTATCACGCCGGGAAGAGGCTCGTCGTATGGAGACCGGAAGGCGTGATATGTAGTATAAAAGATTAGCTGCAGCTACCTCACCTAGTGGCTTCGGTCTACGAATACATTCCAGTACCCTTTGACATAAAATTATAGCACCCATGGCTATATCACAGGAAACAAAGGGCATCAGAATTGCCATTGACCGGGGTGGCACATTTTGTGATTTGTATGTTAAACGATGCTGCTTCTTATTGATCGAGCCTATCGTGTGCTGACGGTTTATTTCACACTGGAACAGCTGGGCAAGCATCCCAGGTCGCGAAGATGACTTGATTTTTAAGCTCTTGTCGAGGAATCCTGGAGAGTATGAAGATGCACCTATTGAGGGTATCCGGCAAATCCTCGAAAAGGCTACTGGCCAGGTTATCCCAAGAGGCACTCCTTTGGATATCACACCAGTCGAGTCAATCCGAATGGGAACAACAGTTGCCACAAAGTGAGTTATCATCGCACTTTTCACATGCCTGTACATCGGCTAATATATCTTGCTAGTGCGCTTCTGGAACGAAAAGGAGAGAGAGTTGCTCTTCTGATTACAAAGGGTTTCAAAGACCTTCTGGTCATTGGCAACCAAGCTCGACCTAGCATTTTCGATCTTTCAGTGTCCAAGCTAGATAGTTTATATGAGAAAGTCATCGAGGTTGATGAGCGAGTCACCATAGAAGGCTTTGCGGAAGACCCCGAGCCTCAACCAATTGACATATCGTCAGATCCAGCCTTAGTCGAAGGCCTCACTGGAGAGGCAATCCGCATTTTACAAGAACCAGATCTTGCCCAAGTCCGCAAAGATCTTCAGTCTCTGTGGGATGAGGGATACCGCACACTAGCAATAGCCTTTATGCATTCATTTGCTTTCCCGAAACATGAAGCTGCTGTCGCAGAAATTGCACGAGAAATCGGTTTCAGAGCATCACCTTCTTCTGAACTCCAGCCTATGATTCGAATTGTCCCCAGAGCACAATCAGCAACAGCAGATGCATATCTGTCTCCAGTTATTGCACAATATATTGAAGGTTTCCGGTCAGGTTTCAAGGGCCGCTTAGAAGATCATAATGCGAAGAAGTTACTTCTTTGTCAATCAGATGGTGGACTTACATCATTCAACAGATTTACAGGTCTACGGGCCATTCTGTCCGGGCCGGCTGCTGGTGTTATTGGGTGTGCTCGAACTTGTTATGACGAGGCAGATGGCACGCCTGTACTTGGTTTTGATATGGGAGGCACGAGTACTGATGTATCTCGCTACAGTGGCGCTTTCGAGCATGTTTTTGAAACAACAGTCTCTCAAGTTGCTGTACAGAGCCCTCAACTGGACGTACACACCGTTGCTGCTGGTGGTGGCTCTATGCTCTTCTGGAGAAATGGACTTTTCGTTGCTGGCCCCGAGTCCGCAGGAGCATACCCTGGCCCTGCTTGCTACGGCAAAGGGGGTCCTCTTACAATTACCGATGCCAACTTCTTCCTGGGCCGTATTCTTCCAGACTACTTCGCTCGCCCTCTTGACTTCGATGTCGTCAAGAAGAAATTCCTCGAACTCACAGAAGTTGTCAACGCAGAAAAGAAAGGTTCCGAATCCCTAACAGCGGAAGAAGTTGCCATGGGTTTTCTGCTTGTAGCAAATGCATCTATGACCCGGCCTATTCGCGCACTTAGTGAGGGTCGTGGTTTTGAAACTGCTGCCCACAACCTTGTCTGTTTCGGTGGTGCTGGAGGTCAGCACGCCACTGCTATTGCGCGTGACCTTGGTATCAAGCGAGTTTTGATTCACCGTTTCTCTAGTATCTTGTCAGCCTACGGAATGGCTTTGGCAGACGTTGTTGTTGAACTTCAAGAGCCAGAGTCAGGCTCATTCAACAAGGAATCTGCTCCCCGTATCAGCAAGCGAGCCGATGCTCTCCGCGAGCGAAATACCAAGCAGCTTATTAAAGAGGGCTTCTCTGAAAACCTGATTTCGCATGAGGTTTTCCTCAACATGCGATACCGTGGCAGTGACACTTCGCTCATGATTTCCGAATCTGATGCTGCCGACTTCTCAGAAGGATTCATTGCCCGTCACCGACGAGAATTTGGCTTCACTCAACCACGCGAGATTTTGGTCGATGATGTGCGTGTTCGATCAGTCGGCAAAGCAGTGGATGTCAAGATCCAAAGCCCATTCAAGCAATTGGAGGAAATATCTCGCTCCGTCCAAACGGATTTAAAACCGGCTCTTATTCGACCAGTATACTTCGAAAAGGAAGGGTGGATTGATTCGCGCATCTTCCATCTGCAAGATGTGCCCAAGGGAAGCACCATTCTCGGACCGGCCATGATTATCGATTCAACACAAACTATTGTTGTTGACCCAGCCAGTGAAGCGACAGTTCTGAACGAGCATGTCGTCATTGATCTTCTTGATGCAGAAACAAAGAAGGTCTCCGCAGACGAGGTTGATCCTATTCAACTATCCGTTTTCAGCCACCGTTTTATGAGTGTTGCCGAGCAGACGGGTGAGACTCTTCGCAAGACGTCCATCTCTACAAACATCAAAGAACGTCTTGACTATAGCTGCGCAGTCTTCTCGTCGGATGGTCAGCTTGTTGCTAACGCACCTCATATCCCCGCTCACTTGGGATCGATGTCCTATGCTATCCAATATCAGGCAAAACGGTACAAGAAAGGGGAATTGAAACCAGGTGATGTTATCTTATCAAACCACCCTATCGCTGGTGGTACCCATCTTCCTGATCTGACCGTGACAACGCCGGTCTTTGACGAAAATGACCCTACCAAGATCCTCTTCTTCGTGGCCAACCGTGGTCATCACGCAGACATTGGAGGTATTGCTGCTGGCAGCATGCCGCCCAATTCAACCGAACTGTGGCAGGAAGGTGCTGCTATTGAATCATTCAAATTGGTGAAGGAGGGTGTATTTGATGAAGAAGGCGTCGTTCACCATCTTTACGAAGTCCCATCTACCTACCCCGGCTGCAGTGGCACACGGACTTTGAACGACAACATCTCCGATCTCAAAGCAGGCATAGCAGCTAACAACAAAGGTATTCACTTGATTCAGGGCCTTGTGCGTGAATACGGCTGGCCCGTTGTGCAGCTATATATGAAGGCAGTCCAAAAGAATGCTGAAGAGACTGTTCGCAGCTTACTCAAGGAGTTCAGTCGCCGCTTCCAAGGTCAACCCTTAGAAGCAGTTGATTATATGGACGATGGAACCCCATTGGCCCTGAAAATCACCATTAACCCAGATGACGGTTCCGCCAAGTTTGACTTCACTGGTACCGGACCTGAGGCGCTGAACAACTTGAATAGTCCACCTGCAGTGATGTACAGTGGTATCATGTATTGCCTCCGATCAATGATTGCCTCGGACATTCCCCTCAACCAAGGCTGCTTAGCTCCGATCCAAGTTGAGTGTCCGCCAAACACACTTCTGTCACCGAGCGTGAAAGCCGCAACAGTCGGTTCAAATGTAGAAACATCCCAGCGCATTATTGATGTTATCCTCAAGGCATTCCGTGTTTCCGCTGCCAGCCAGGGAACATGCAATAACCTCACATTTGGCTACGGTGGTAAGGATGCTGTTACTGGCGCTGTTACCAAGGGCTTTGGTTACTATGAAACCATTGCCGGTGGTGCCGGTGCAGGCGCAAACTGGGCAGGTCAGTCAGGAGTGCACACAGGTAGCACCAACACGCGCATGACAGACCCAGAGACCTTTGAAAAGCGGTATCCAGTTCTTCTGCGCGAATTCAGCATTCGCAAGGGCAGTGGTGGTGCCGGTAAAAACTATGGTGGTGATGGCTGTATCCGGGATATTGAGCTGCGCCGTCCATTGCAGGTTAGCATTCTCTCTGAACGACGTGTTGTTGCACCGTACGGTATGGCTGGTGGAGAAGATGGGAAGAGAGGTGTCAACTTGTGGATTCGAAAGGATCCCATTGATGGAACGGAGAGATCAATCTCTGTTGGAGGCAAGGCATCCATGGCAATGAATACTGGTGATAGGTTCGTTGTGCAAACTCCTGGAGGCGGTGGATATGGAGTGCCGGAAGATAAGAAACAAGCCATTGAAGTCTTGGATGAGTTTGTTGTGAAGCGAGCTATCATGTAATTTCTTTTTCTCTTTTATTCCTTTTCCCTTACTTTCCTCTTTGAACGATTTAATGCTACGTATTGCATACTGCACATATATGGTTTTATGAATGAATAATATCATTTTACTCAACTTTATCAGCTTCAGGTATACTGCGAGACCTCAAATTGTCGGTGAAATGCTAATCATACCAACATTTCGAAGGTCATATATTTCGATTTCCTGCCACCTTAGAGGTGGATATAAATTTCTCCGTCTGCTAGCCCTAAGTGGATATCTGCATTCCCCAAACTTTCAGCGCATCTCAACTTCGGGACGAATCAAAACACCATGTACAACTTACAGGAGGACTTGACATGACAACTAACTACTGATGGTGGCATTACGACTACGCCTTTAGCACATTTTGATTTTTGAGCTGTGCCCCAGCCAGCGTCATTTGGATGCGTGATGAACCCCAGACATGAACCCTGTCTTCCCCGCATACCTAGGTATTCCCGGGTCGTAAATATTTGTCGGAGAAAATAGAAGGAATTGTGAAGTGACCGAAAGGAAGTGGGTTATATATAAATAGGCTGGGCATGTTTGTTGATCGTCTCCTTGCTTCCATGGAGGGGTTTGCTATCTAGTTACATCGTGCAGCAGCGCTAATCCCAACAAGCCGAAAAATATATATTGATAAGAACCTTGGAAACAGAAGCCAAAATGAAGCCCATATACCGCATGGTTTTCTTGAATACCCTCACGGCATTATCAATCCTTCTCTCAGCGGCTTTATCTTCACCCACTAGCAAGACTGATTCTCGTATACCCTGCCAGGCCGGAGACATTTCATCCTGCCCTGCGCACACCATCATCGTATCGAATGGAGCTTCTTCCTCCAAGGCAGACTTTACATCGATCCAAGCTGCGATTCTATCACTCCCAAATGACAATTCATCTGCCACCATTTTCATCCGTGCAGGTAGATACACCGAGCAATTGAACATAACCCGCCCTGGTCCCGTAACGCTACTAGGCGAAACAACAAATCCTCTTGATGCCAGCAAGAATCAGGTCACGGTGTACTGGAGCGCAGCGAACAATGGAACCTATCTCGATAACGCGTTCACTAGTGTTCTAACGGTGGCGCCTACTCAAAATGCTTCTCTTACCGGAGCTGGTCCAACCGGTTGGCCGGTGCCAGCGGATACGCCATTTGGGAATTCGGATTTTCGTGTGTACAATATTGACTTCAGGAATGTCTTTTCTGAGTACTCTGCAGGACCCTCGCTGGCTGTTAGTGTGAGCTATGCAAATGCTGGGTTTTATTATTCGGGATTCTATTCTTATCAAGACACGGTACGTTGTTGTTTTTGTCGGTTACCTTCAGGCTACATCGCTTATACTGCAACACAATCGCTGATCTTACGGAAATAGGTATACATAGGTAAACTTGGCAATGGATACTTCTACGATAGCATTATAGCTGGTCAGACCGACTTTTTGTACGGATTCGGGACAGCTTGGTTCCAGTTTTGTGCCTTGCAACTACGCTCCTGCGGCGGTGGAATAACTGCTTGGAAAGGAACGAACACTACGTATGTTAATAAATTTGGCGCATACATCGTCGACTCAACCATAAATGCCGCCAATGCTTCAATTGCGGATGAGATCAAAGGTAAATGCGCTCTTGGCAGGCCTTGGAATGAACTGGATATTTCAATATTTGCACGCACATACGAAGATGCCAGTATTGAGAGTAGTGGCTTTACAGATTGGCTTGATTCTGGAGTGCAGAATTATGTGCCGGAGGTCACCCTACAGGCGGAATTCGAGACTTATGGGCCTGGTTGGAATGAGACTGGGAGGTTGGAGGCTGGCTTTGATACACTACTAAATAAGTCTGCCTGGGAGGCATATGATGAGCCTGCAAAAGTGTTTCAGTTTGGATATGGAAACGGGAGCTTTGGAAATATCAAATGGATTGATTGGGCACCCTGGAACTAGATAGATAGGATAGTTGGATAGGCTCTTTTACATCCACAGCCACATTATCCACTCACCGACTAGGCTTCATATCCTCAATCTGGCGTCTCAAATCCGCCAAAACATCAATCCGCTTGTCAAGATGATTATCCAAAGCATCTATTTGGTCAGCCACCGGTTGCCTCAATCGCGCCAGACCCTGACCATCTTTCGCCCGCCTCGTTCCCTCCCTCAGTTCACGGTTGTCTTTCTCAATTTGTCTAGGTGGATCTGTGTTTCTTTTTATGAAGGAAACCATAGATATATCCAATCTTCAATACGCCTTGTGACACATTTGCTTTATAGAAGAAGGATCCTTTGTATGAGAACTTTGGAATACTTCTAATAGTTCTATACTCTATGGAATCATGCACATGCAGTGGGGATGCAACCCAGAGTACCTTCTAGAAAAGCTGACCAATGTTCTTATAATGAAAAAGCCGCAAATTTCCGTCTTTTATACTCACATTACTTACTATTTAAGAACCTGAGAATGCCCATCCATCCGGTCATCCTACAACCATCAACTATCAACCACAGGGAATCCGGCCATATCAGTGTCACTTGAAGCTGGACCATTTCGGTGGCAGAAACATTTTACGTATCTCGTTACAAAGTTACAATTTTCATTATGGCCCCTCCAGTTCTAGGGGGAATATTTGAGTCAGTATCAAGTCATTTCATCGGTTATTGGGTCAGCCAGCAGTGAACATGCTCTTTACTGACGCTATTCCTATCTATTTAACCCAGAGAGCCTCCCCCCACCATGGAGATCAAGTCAAAATTCGAATTGGATCTTCAGGTCGCAAATATACCGTCCAAAAAGATCTCATCTGCAAGAAATCCGCGTACTTCGCAGGCATATTCATACCACCGAAGTACAGCGAAGTAACAGTGCAATCAGTGACCTTGAAAGAGATTAGACTGGCTGTATCATGGAGAAATTATGTTGGACGTATCATCCTTTGACCGTGCGATCTCTGACATGATTGAAGTCGCGAGACTCGCGAACAAGTGTCGTATCACCGCTACTGAGGATCTATTGGCGAAGCATATCAAAAAAACAATCATCCATGGTGGAATAATACATGTGAATGTATTCAGGCACCCCGACACAAATACGCGCCACATTACGTCCGCGAATATCGTTTCGGCATCGATGCTATCAGCTGGTCATCCAGTTCGTACGGTATTGGCGGAGGCATCGGTAGAGGGACATCTTCGGTGCAAGAATGGCAACTTCAAGTTCCATAAGGAGGCCAAGGAAGTCCCTGGTTTTTCGGTGGATCTTTTCAGTCTAGTGGATTTGACCCGTAGAAGAAGGACCGTTACAGAGGGTAAACCCATGTTTCAAGACCCTATTTCTCAGAAGTGGCTGCCTTTTTTTTTTTGACTTTGTGGGGCCAAATTGATATCTGTCTTGACAATGTATCTACTAAAGAAATTTCAGTTTTGCGAAGTTCGTCTTGAGTTAGATGCGAGGGACATCTAGGTAGAACACTGGTAGTATTCAGAATTAGATGATCCCTTCTGTTGAGTTATGTATCACCATCTCGGAGGCTTTCATACAAACTTTGCTCGGTTGCATGAATGAGACATATTTCTATGCTATTCATATCACATTTATAGGCAACTAATTAACTTTGAGGTTGACAAAAGAAAGCAGACTTTTTCACATCTGTATCAAAAGGATCATGGCGGTCTTTCTCTGGTTTCTCGAGGTAGCGATGCATAACTCTTCGGGAGTAGGCAAGAGAGCCGTGGTGCGTCCAAATATTCTACTAGCAATCAAAATAGCTGCATAGGAGGCTTATGATGCTCTCTTTGGTCGAGGTCATCTCCGATGTCACTCACGACTTACGGACTGAAGCGCAAAAAGTAATGGCTTAATGACTTGGAGCATCAGGCGGGCATCATAGAACATCATCAATCCCATACAGCGTTATCCTATGGCCAAGGCCACCAACCTTAGTAGGCATCTCGCTTTGCTCCAGCCATCAATGACCAATCAATCCTCTTCATAGTAGCACTCAATATACATCTACAAACACTGCAAGACAATCAAGGATAATAAAAATTACCCACGTATTGCTATTTTCCCAAAAAAAAATATATATATTCTCTTGAGAGTACATGGGCAAATATTTCCAATCTAGGAAAGTAGCTGTAACCAGGGATGACATCATGGTTCTGTCAACACATATAAATCATTTCAACGTCTTCAACTTTTGCCTCCCTACCTAGGTATGATAGTGCAACTCGAGTTTACGGCTGTCAATATACAGAGCCATGCTTAGGATTATGAACTGAGGAAAGGGCCTTGGATATATTCAAGAGTTCGGACCTCCAACACCAAACCCTGCTAACCATTTCACGCAGCAGGCATCTATCTCATCCAGATACGACAAGGCACATCCCTGAACAATAATGCCGACACCACGACCTGCACTCCTCTCCTCCATCCACTCCCTCATCTCCGCCTTCTCGTCTGGGGCATCTACACCCGTCATCCTAGCACATTTCACGACCTCACCCGCACCGCTCGTGCACGAGCACGGCTCGCCATTTCTACAGCCTTCCCTGCCTTTCATCGGCCGCGACTTTACCGGTATGACTGGTGTGGGTGAATACTTTGACGTTCTCGCCCAATACCTCTCATATAGTGACATGGTCTTCGAGGATGAAGATGACTGGGTAGTCGATCCACAGAACCTGACCATCTGCTTGCGAGGTCGGGCACAGTTTACATACAAACGCACAGGGGACAGTTGGCTGGAGACATTTATGTGGCGAATAACGCTATCCGAGGACTTGGGTCAAAGTGAGCCGGATGTTGGACAGGGCTTAAAAGTGCAGGAGTATAGAGTGTGGTCTGATACAGGTGCGGCGTTGCTGGCTAGTCGTGGGGAGTTACAGGGAGAGAAATCACGGAAGTATGTTTCTGATGCTGCACGGGCGGATGGTGTTTTGGGATCGGATTATCCGGTCAAGGATAAGTTGGGCAGCGGGTTGTCATTTGGGGGAAGTTCTGGATGAAGAGGACTTATTTCTATGATTCTGTAGCAAAACTGTCACGTTTGTCAAATAAGGGAGCAAGGCTAAAGATACAAATTCAGTCAAAATGGAAAGGCTAGTAGATAGAAAGAGATATAAAGACAAAAACAAGGCAGAAAGGCGCCCACAACTCCCTCCCCTTTTCGAGATGAACAGTAGTCTCGGCAAACAAACAAACTAGGTTTCTAAGTAGAAAACAAGAACGGAAGAAGCAAATAGCTGAAATCAATTGAAAGGAGAAAGCATAGAGGTCTACTGCTTCCACGACTTTCCGCAATTCAGACACGTACAAAATAATGTCATCGGTTCATCGGCACTGCGCGTCTGAGCTTCGGTATAGGTAACCTTGCGCTGACCACATTTGCCACATTGTAAGCTCGAACTGACACTTCGCTCGGCCTGAGCCACCATTGCTTTGTCCATGTTTTCCTTTTGAATTTTCATATCTGCCGCCCTCCGTTCTTCAGACTTGAGTTCGTCATGAGTCATTTTGACGAATTTCTCCGGTGTTATTTCGTTAGATAGCACGCGCTGTCGGAGCTGGGGATTTGATTTATTCTTCAAATTCTGGAACAGACTTCGAATTTTGGTTTTGTATTGTTCCTTTGTTTCGGGTCCAAACGCATTGAATGCAGCCGCCTCCACGGCAGTTGCTTTGGCTAAAACAACCTTCGGAGCTTCAGTAGACATAAAACACAACCCATCGTATATAAGACCAAGACAGCTGTCGCGGGTCTTATTAGACGTCACACTAGTCTCGACGCCATCTGCTTTCCATGACCGCTTCTCTGGCAGTACGGAAGATTTGGAAGACGGAGTGCTTGCAGGCGCAGGGGATGCTGTGCCGGTATTGGGGGTACTCGAGCGATGCGGGTTCGGTGAGCCATTTGACTTCTGTTTGTTTACCTCACTTCGCCATTTGGACACAATCTCGGACGACAGGCGCGCAACATCGGGGGACTTATGTTGTTTCAACTTATTAACCACGATACCGATACGTGTCGAGCGCAGTAGGTCCTCTGTAGGTCGAACGCCTTTCTGGAGCTCCTTCAGTATGTTGATCAAGTTTGCCGGGGGTTCGCTGGACGTCGCGGCCTTTGTCAAAGCTTTGGCTTTGAATTCGATTTCCTTGGCATCCATTTTGGACATGCCTATATCAAGTTCTGTTGTTAGCGCGGGTGAGATTCACGGGATGAGAATACAGGCATGTAAGAGACCGCATTTAATAGACTTGCGTAAAATGCGCAAAGCGACAAGCTAGAACCCAAGTGCAAGCTAGCTTCGATACATATGGAACTTACCGCCTTAATATGTCGCCAGACACCGACGAAAATGAAGCCTCTAGTTATAGGCAAACACGCGAGGAATAATCAGAAGGTCAACAAAACGTCAAGCAAAAGTCAAGACGTCTTCAACTCGTTCTTTTGCGCCCAAGTCGGAAAAAAAATGCGATTAGCAATTAAGTAAATTCTATAGCCAACGTAGATCTCCCAAAGACAAGGGAAAATGAGATAGAGAGCAGTGGCAAAAGTGATTGCAAAGTGAAAGGGAAAGAGGGAGAAATCGGTTTGCGACAAAAAACCACAATTGGGAAGTTGTCTGTTGACCGCTCGGCAATTAATCTGATTGGCTCCCGCGCTGAGCCGCGGAGATTAGCTTGAGCCTTGACGGCCATAATGTCTTGATATTTTCTTTTAAAGCTCTAGGTCAGAGATATAAGACTGAATCTTCGAGAAATCAACGGTATTCTAGATTTTTATCATTTATTCATTTATTTACAAGGCTGTGGTGACTTCTGTGTAATCTTCAAGTAATCATCAATCGTTCTAAAAAAATGTTTCATGGGTATAATCGTCTCTTTCCTCACATTGAAAACAAGATATCTGCTGTTTGCGTTGGTAATGCCTGCTAGTGGATTAAACTAGCAGAACGGGGAGGGGCTGATTGAAGCACGGTAGTCGGCGAGAGGAGAAAAATGCTCCTCTCCTGATGGAATGAAGGTGGCGTTGTCACCAACCGCCTCAAAGATGGGAATCTGCTGGTAAATCTCCATGCAGAGCTCAAATGCCAGTCTTCCCAAGGGTATCGGCCAATGCATCGACGTCGGCGTCTTTCTTTTGGCTGACTGGCTCATCCTCGGCGCGAACCGTTTCCTTCAACGTCTTATCTGCCACATGTCTTTGCTCCTCCTCCTCTTCCTCCTCCTCGTCTTGCTCTTCCTCCTCCTCTTCATCCTCCTCCTCTAGTTCATCAAGCTCATCGATACCCCAAGTGTCTTCAGAATCCTCGTCTGTGCCGTGTTCCTCCTGTCTCTTCTCGAGGAGAGCGCGCAGTTCCTCAATATTACCGTCATCTTCCGTGAACTTGTTTCCGTTCAGCTCAATACGCTTCAAGGCTGGCAGAGAATTCTTGGCCGCAAAGAGAAATTGCTTGACACCTTCGGCGTTGATATCGTTGTATTGCAAGCGTAATGTTTCGATCTTCTCATTTTTTCCCGCTGCAAGGGCCTGAGCAACTTTAATACCGCCCCGGGCTGACAGCAGACAGTCTCCAACGCCGAGCTCCCGCAGCGACGTCCATCCCTGAACAACACCCGCCAGAGCAGTCGATCCCAGTAACGTAAATGTGTTGTCTTGTAGATCCAAAACTTCCAGCGCGGCGGCGTGGCTTAGACCTTCCTTCAAAAGCAGCGAGATACCCTCCTGGCGAATACCGTTTTGCGTCATCTTAACTGAGCGTATACCCTTGGCATGCGCCTTGTAGGCGTTTGCCCATGCAGCCATGCTTCCATTTTCCAGACGGTTGCGACCACAAACGATGGATTCCAATAGAGGGACATCTTTGCCACTTGCGCGCACCTCTTCCTTGCGCTCCGCTAGCTTTGTGAGGGCGTCGGCAATCAGGACGCCAGCGCGAGGACCGAGTCCGTTGTTGTTCAGGATCAGATGACGGAGGGGAATGGCCTGGGAGAGGTATTCAACGAGAGGAGCTTGCGTATTTAGGCCAAAGGCATTATCGGAGAGGTTGATGGTGTACAGATGGGGAATCTCCAAAAGCGCATTCAGCAGCGCAGAAAGCGCAGGCGGGATTTCGGTTAACAGTCGGGATGTGAAAATGTCAGCAAGGTCGGCGACTTCAAGGTTCTTTTGTGTTGAGAGAATGGCTGCAAGTCGTTCTGAAGCTGCGATACCAAAAGTGTTGCCACCAAGGTGGACTTCTGTGAATGAGGTATCTTCAAGCAGGGGTTTGACGTGGGCTTCGATGTCCTCAGCAGTATCGAGCTTGAGGCCTTTGCCGTCGAGAGAAAACACCTTGGGCGCCATTGTATAAGAGAGTGATACTCTAGATAAGATATCTTGATACAGATGAGGGAAAGTAAATTAGAAAAGAGTGTCTGTGTTGAGAGGGAAAACAGGGGAATAGGAGGAGGGGCTCGCCCATGATTGTTTTTTTTTGTTATTCGCCTTCGATGGACCCCGCCAATCAAAAAAAGATAAGCCTAACCTTTAATGCGCTAGTATTTCGGAGGAAGCTCACCGCCTATAACTCCGATAATTCTGCCGATTGCGCCAATTGAGCTAATTTCGAGATTAGTAATTGCGAGTTCACCATCCACGCACCTCAAACATTGACCGATTTCTTCATAACACTTTGTATTTCTTACATTTCATCGCCATACGGAGTTGAAACTGAATTCCAATTAATATGTCTTGGTTTTCAGGCTGGTCAAGCGGTAAGTCTAATTTCATAGAAGTCCGCGGAACTTTAACCATTTGCGCATCAATAATATCAGAGCCGCTCGCTCATTTCATTTCAACCTACTTCAATTATATATATGTGTTACCATGATACTGATATCTTCTCATCTTCAGGCACAACTACCACCGCACCTGCACCAGAGGCAACCAATGCCCCAAAGACTGCCGAATCATCCAACAAACCAAAGGTTTGTTCAACTTGCCCAAACAACGATTAGGAGAGAGAAAGAGGGTAACTGACCGGGCTAAATTCCGTATAGCCATGCTGTGTATGCAAAGACGAAAAGTCCGCGCGCGACGACTGCATGCTATTCTCGAAATCGGATGATCCGGCCCAAACAGACTGCAAGCCGATGGTGGAGCAATACAAGAGTTGCATGGCTGGGTTTGGATTCAAGATCTAGACATAAGGACTCGTCGTTCATCTCTCTTTTCTTAGATAGGTCAATCCAAGAGGTTGATTGAGGGAATGGACAGCTTTATGCAACTCCGGATAGATGCGGATGCGTCAAACAGTGACTGGTTGATGCTTGCTTGCTTGGTTAATTTTGCATAGCATTTGGGACATATATTAAACGCACACTCCTCTCTTGTTGTGTGTTTGGGGGGCGTTTTCTTTCTTTTTTTTTTTTTTTTATGGCAAGGATTGTATTATAACACTATACACATGTACTATATAGAAACCGATTGAGATCTATTTGGTTGCATTTTCGCATCTTTAATAGAACTACAGT